ATTAATGCATAAAGTCTATATAAACATGGATCGAAAAATGCGTGGCTTCCGAAATACAGGGTGTTTAAATTTACTTTCTAAAATAGTTTTTTTTAAATATTACGAACAATATTTGATGTATAACAGTGATAATTGGTATACAAGGGTTTTTTGGTACGAAAAAACGAACCATGGGCATAGTTTTACCGTAGCCGTTAGAGGGCGCTCTCTTTTGTACCTGTAGTGTATTGAAATGACCGAAAAATTTTTCTTAGTGCAATTTTTTGCTTTTTGAATAAAAAAACTGATTCTTCGCACTTTTCAACATAACAAAGCTCTCTTGTGAATTTTCGTTATAGTTAGCCGTTTTTGAGATATTTCGATTTATAAGGTTCGATGCATTTTTAATTATTTATGATAAAATAACGTTAAAAAGTCAGTATCTCGATAATTTTTAGAAGTAGGCTGTGCCTGCAAATATTTTTGAAATTGAAAGCAGAATGAGATTAAACATCAATTAGTTGACAGTTAGTTTTGTTGTCTGTTGAAGCCTGAAACGTTTTTTTGCAATTGTGAATGCACGAAATTTAGTTTCTTTTACCTGTTTTTTTTTGTAAGTTTTATAAAAATGCCATTTTTATTCTCCAATCAAGAGTTAGCTGATATTCATTTTGTATATGGCTTTGTAAACGGAAACGCAACAGAAGCAGCCAGAGAATACGCACGAAGATTTCCAAACAGACGACATCCAACTCGCTCAGTATTTGTAAGAGTGCATCGCCAAATAATTGAAAATGGTTTTGGAAATCTCCAAAGGGATCAAAACATAAATGTTCGTCAGCGCAGATTTACCCGTGAGTTTGATAGAGATCCGACCACAAGTGTTAGGAGAGTTTCTGGGGCCTTGGGAATTTCAGCAAGCCATGTTCACCGTGTTCTTAGAAATGACCATAGACGTCCTTACCATTTGCAACCTGTGCGAGGACTACAGCCAGGGGACGGAGAACGAAAAATCACATTTTGTCAGTGCATTCTTGGTAGAACTGATAATAATAGTGAGTTTTTAAGTAACGTTTTATGGACCGATGAGTCATGCTTCACTAGACGTGGAGTGGTGAATTTTCATAATCAACAAATTTGGTCGCATGAAAATCCGCATGCAGTTCGGGAATGAAATTTTCAGCATGAATTTAGTATGAACGGGTGGATTGGTATCTACCGTAATCGACTATTTGGACCCTACCTTTTGCCTGCAAGGTCAAATGCTGCGACCTTCTTGGAATTTTTAAAGGCTGAACATGCAAATATGTGGGATGATGTTATGTTAGATTTAAGAAGATTGGCCTGGTTCCAGCTTGATGGTTGTCCAGCTCATTATTCGAGAATAGTTAGAAACTGGCTGGACGAAAATTATCCAGAAAGATAGATCGGCCGTGGAGGACAAGTCGCCTGGTCTCCACGATCCCCTGACCTAAATCCATTAGATTTCTTTGTGTGGGGATTTCTAAAAGAAAAAGTATACCAGACTCCCGTAACCACAAGAGATATGCTAATAGACAGAATCAGGAATGCATGTGACGAAATAAGACCCTTTCTGAATAATGCTATACCACGTTCGATCATTCGTAGATGTGAATTGTGTATTGAACAATTGGGTTTACATTTCGAGCAACTACTTTAGATTTTGTATGTTTGCCTAACTATCCAATAGCATTTTAGTTTTTAAATAATTAATTTAATTTGTTAAAAATAATATTGGAAAATTAAACAAATTAATATTCTGTTCTGTGAAAATGTAAAGAAAGTTTTCTTGCAAGTTGAACCATTTTATAATTGCACGTAAAAGGCACTAACTGGAAGCAACTACTATCAACCAGAGCATCAACGTCTACTCTACCGTGGTGAGCAATAAATTGATTTGTGCAAGTAAATCAGGAAAGAACAAGTCAAATCGGACCGCCATGGCGTGCTAGGCATATGTTTCCTGCCACGCCATGGCGGTCCCGCTAAACATTTTTTTAAGAAAACAGCTAAAGAGATCATAAATAAATGAATCAAACGTATTTCTCCAGATTGTAAGTCATAAACAGAACAAATGATACAAAGTTGGACTTTGGCCAGATGGGCATTTTTCTAACATTTTCCTTGGCGTTTAACTTTTTAATAACGCCGGCTGTAAACCTTGAGCCATCAGTTAAAAAATTTCATAATAAAAATGGCCAATATAAATTGCTGGAAATCATTTTCAGCTTCCTAAAATAACCGCTAGGAGGCGGTCTCTAAATTCAAAATCAGAGATGCCGTTTTTTCGAGAACATTCATAACATTATTCAAAATAGCTTTGTTCGACAGTTTCGTGCTTTGCAAACTTTTTGAGGAGTATGGGTTCAAGGTCATTTTAGAGAAACCATGTCCATTGCCTTTAAGAGATCTTTAATGTATGCTTATAACGGAAGTCTTGTTAATTTAGTTCGTTTTCATCCGTTAAGTGGGCCCAATGACAACCGTCGTTAATCCGGATTTTTTCGAAGACTTTAGATGTAATGGTATTATGTTTTATCATTCAGGAAGTGCATGAAAAATTCTATTAGCTAGTAAAAACCGCATGTAGTTATCTTAATTCTTTATGAAGGTATAACTAAAAATAGAATTTATTGAGAAATACAGAGCCGGGGAGTAACAACAGGCTTTAGTGCAGGTGCCCGCACTTAAATTTATTGACGAATTTTTTATATTTCGGCTTGTTGGAATCTGTCGATTTTACATTGCGTTATTCTTGAATTTCCCTTCTGACTCTCCCTCTCCCTCAAGCCACACTGAAATCGTCACATTATTAAAATATACACTTTCCAGCATCTTAGTTACACACCTTATCTTAGTCAGACGCGCTCGAGTATTTCTAACGATCGATTTTATTGTTTTACTATTCTGATCGGGAGCCCTAGACGTACCCCCTGTATAAAGGTACTCAACCAGGATGCAAAGTATCCCTCCTTATGTTAATTTACCGCGTTCGAATAAATTCCAAAATCCCCGGACTGGCTTCCCTACAAAAGCCCTAGTTAAGTTAAGCAACACTCGCTTTCCGCTTTCATTTTTCAGAGAAAATGGTCCAAAGTGTAAACATTTTTTCGAGGGTTGCAAACTGTGGAAAACTCCGCTGAATATTGCATTTATTTCTCCGAAACTAATCTCCTTCAACCAATGCAAGAAGTATGACCTATTATACGACTTCCACGCGATATGAGGCGCGGGTTTAGCTGTGGTTTAGGCTAGTTAAAATACATGTATAAACAGGATTAGTGGGGCACAGATCATATCAGTTTTTTAAATGTAGCATGTCAAAAATATACTATAAACTGACAAGGGCGTACCCAGCTCAAAATGGAAGAGGGGCACCTTCAGAAATTTATGGACGTTCCACAAATCATATCTACTTAACTATGCTTGATATTTTTTTCAATTTGCATTTTGTTGTTTTATCCATGTATATAGAGTCTTCCACGATGATTTGACAATTTATATGGATATGGAAAACTACTAGGATTACTTTTTGCAAAATTCAAGCAAATATTGCGCGAAATGCTTTTTTAAATAATAATTTAGTCGTTCGCAATACTTGGACAGCAATACTTGAGACAATATAGGTATGACAAATGTTTGCTATACTGCACATTTTATATACCTGTTTTTTGGGTGTACATATCCCTCAAAATTCACATTTTTTTCACTTAAGTCACTAACCCAGGGAAGTTATGTAATCACAAAAAAACTTCAAATGGAAGAATAATTTTCAAGTATAACATAGTAGGCTCACTTTGTGTGGCGTTCTTTAGGTAATCCTTTGCCGTCTATTACAAGCAGAAAAATATATGATTTTGTTAATCGATCTTTTTGCGTTAGAGCAACCGTAAAAAACTAATTTATTCATTGGTTCTTCTATAACTTGGAAAGTATCACTGAATTTTGAAAAAAGTTTGAATGGTACCAGATCAAAAAATCTGCAACTCCTGAAACTTGACTTTATCGTTTTTCCATTTCCTTTGAATCCAATCAAAAATTTCCTTAGAAGACACAAAATTCAGAAAGAAGTCAAACTTGATATATCTTAAGACAGTCAAAAGTTTATTTGAAGGATTCAAAGTTTGTGAAATCCAGCAAAACTCTTTTTTCAAATAAGAATCATCCAGTCCAGTATAACTCCAAACACAACACGAGCAACACGAGGGGTGCAATTTGAGAATATGTGGAGTGGAATCTGCGTTGAAAAATCGGGAAACTGCTGATGTAATAATATGTTATCTAGAAGCGGCGCAAAACTTATCTGGGAACCCTATTGTAAAAGAAATTGTACAGAAGGATTTATATATTGTTTAGAGTCAATGCAAAAAACCTCATCTTCAAATAAAAAGATCTGGGTAACTTTTTTTAATAAAATTCAAAGTTATAAGTCTACACAACTGGGAAAGGGATCAAAACACCAAAATTGCTAATTGGTTATTGCAAAAAATTATTCATTTTTTGCCGAAAAGTGCATGAGAGTACACATGAACTAGTAATTTACAACCCAAACCTAGTAACTATTCGGAAGGAGAATTACCAACAAAAATATTATTTACAAAAATTGTGGACTATACGCTTACTACTTAGAATATACCGTGTAGCATGGATGTCAGCAATTGATGCATAATGTTACGTAGAAATCCACTGATGGTACGGACTACAGAACATACTGATCGTGTGACATTCGCTTTACCGTTTCCGTTCCCAAAGGCGAGGTTCGAATGTAAAACGCAACATTTATAGAGCTTTTAGCAAAATTAAGTTTATGTCTAACATAGGTTTCAAGCAATCCTAGTAATTTCTCATCTAATAGATTAATTGTTGTAAAAAATGTCCTCTCCACTTATATCTTGCCGAGCTAGGAACAAGGGAGCGGCTTCCCCCCTGGGTACGCCCTTGTAAACTAAAGAAACGTACCTTCATAAGTCTCCATTTGGATTACGGAATTGTCGCAGTACGAGAAAAGCAGGATATTGGTATACACTCAAACTCCATCTTCCTACCCTTATCCTCGGGAAAATTTGCGGTTAAAGAAATATGTGATAGCCCAGTAGACGAAAAAGCACTTATTGAACACTTTTTTAAAATCAAATTAAATACTATGACAGATCAGTAAAGTACCCCGCTAGTTTTTGAATCTCGACATATACTGCTGTCAGTTTTGACGACAAAACCGCTTGTCATACCGGACCGCTCTGACGAATAATGACGAATAGAAGTACCGCTTGTCATTATTTAATTAAGAGGGCGGGCGTTTATAGTCGGTGATTTGTTTCGCGTGGAGTATTATTTTGGTCAGTGGCGCATTCAGCCTTTCGAAATAGGGCTTTTTATTGAGCGTGAGAAAAAGAGGATACATAATAAAAGTAATTCATAGCAAATGGATGATTGTCTATAAATACGAAATGTCAATACATTTAAGAAGACAATTAAATCTTATATTTTAAAAAATAGCAAAAATGAAATGTTATTATTTATATATTCAATTTTTATTCTTTAATTGATTGGGTTAAATATTCAACTCATACTTTCTATTTTCGTTATTTTATTTGCATCACTTTTTTGTATCTTTGTAAGGTTGAGTGGAAGAGCATGCAATGTGAACTCTGCCTTTTGGTTAATCCAATACAGACAACTATTATTATTATCATTTAAATGAGAAATCGGTGCAGTTAAGGCAGAATTATGATTAGACACAAATTCAGACACCTCATTTTTAAACAAATTTAATACTCCCCCTGTTTTTCTGTGTTTTTAGAATCAAAACTGAGAGGAGGGATATGAGAGCCGAGAGTGATCATCTGAGAATATCAACACAAAGTGCTGGCCGATGGCAGCTGTTTCGGCGGCACTGTTTTTTTTCAAACAAGACATGATTTTTCAAATGGCCTGATACATTATCAGAAAATTATGATCTTTAAATTATCACATGTATAAAAGTGATAATATTCGGATTTGGCAGCATTACATGTAAAAAATATAGCGCTTTTTTAAGCATCAACTTCCTACTCTAATTGGTGAGGCAGTATATTTTGATATCTGCGAAAACTTCAAAATCGTTACGTTTTTCAAGAGTCGGGATCAGTCATCATTAATCTTTGGTCCGGCTACAATTTAGACCGTGCCGCTCAAATTTTGCTGCATTTTTTACATGAGGTTAGTATCATGCCAAGAACAAGAAGGCATTGACCGCTTTGAAACAGAGATATGATGGAAAAACGATTCGTTTTTCAACTGTCTGATATTCCTATTTATAAATTACATTCAATTTTCAAATACGGAAATAGAGGTCTTTCAAATGTTTTCTCTTTTTACAATCATACACGCTAGAATCTCATCAATATTATTAAATATCGACTTGAATATAAGTTTTGAAAACACAGTCTGATAATAAAAGATCTAGTTTTACTTAAATAGGTACTCAAAAGGGGTGCGTAAAACTCTTATATATGCTATGTTAACTGGATACAATTATAAACATGTTACAAAAGAAGCTAAACATACTCTTAATATTATGTAAACTCGTGCAATAATACTTACTTTTTAAACAGCCAACCCAAAAACGCCGGTAGTTCAACACGAGATCAATTCCAACATAATGTCCATATTCATAATTCGTAAACCCAGCGATAGATTAAGAAAATTCGCACCAAGGTTATTTGCAAAATCATCCCCAAGATACGCGATGTCACACTGATCTTAAATTGTTTATTTACCCAGCGGCTACCGGTACAACAACGTGTTCGACGAGCTGCGGGTGAGTTATAAGCGGTTGGAAATTGAACATCTCTTCGCGTTGACTGCGGAACAACGAATACCGGCGAATGAGCGAATACGCGTGCCCAGCGGATGCAGATAGAGGAAGAGCGTATATGCAATACAACATAGCAGCGCAACGTCCGATGATACGATGGATTCGCGCTTGCTTAAGGCTAGCTCAAAATTCACGTAAGATTTGAAATAAATAGATAACACAGTTTTTCTTAATCTATTTTAGGTCCCACGTTTAAGGCCCTCTTGATTCCCGCCATACAGCACGTCGTGTGCGTCATGTTAGATCCGTCCCTGATTGTCATAGGCCTTCGACTCCAAATAACCCCATAAAAAGAAATCCAATGGTCAGTGTCTCCTGAAAGTTGAGACTGCCCTTTTCAGAAACAACTACGTTCGAAATAACAAAGCTAATGTGCGGTAAAACAGAGGGATTTCAAGTGCTACCCAGTCACTTGCTTTGCTGTTGAAGTTGTCGCCGTTCGATTCAAAAACAAAAGTTTAACACTTTTTCCAAAATTTGCAACATTTGTAATGATTTTTTTTCCGAGTTCAGTGGATTGCGTATTTTCTGACCTCCCCTCGATTTCTCGGTGAAACTAAACTTTTGAGAAATTATCAATTCATGATTCTGATATGGGTGAATTAGGGATAACGCCCTCTTGCAAAAAATGATTCCATCCTCGAAATAAAGTCTCGAGTGCCCAAAACAAATCCAAGGTTTTTTTTCTGACATTCCATAGAGTTTTTGTCTTACACACATATGAAACACGACCATTTTTGGTTATCCGCTAAAATATACACAGTGACATTAGAAGTGTTACACCCAGAAGAAATACTTCCTTCAACTTGATTTTTTGGCAATGAGGTAGTCTTACATCAAGAGTGAAACGATAACATTCTCACGAAATTTTATTGACAACTAATAGGAAAAAAAATAATAATGTGTTGGGTGGCCCCGCAGCTGAATACAGTCCTGTATACATCTAGGGATCGACAAAGTGAGATGATCGATGTGGCAACTCGAACTTTGTGGATTAGCTGTGGCAGAGTCTGTGGCGGATGGTGCAAAGTGGATAGTCTAATCCCCATCACATCCCACACATGTTCGATGGGATTTAAATCCGGTGAGCGGAATGGCCAAGGCAAAACATTAGCGCCTGCTTTTTGACGAAAGTCCGTGGTACGATGAGCAATATGGGGTCGTGCGTTGTCTTGCTGAAAAAGGACGTGTGGACGGCCCTCTAGAGACGGCAGTAAAGTGGTTTGTAGGACAAAGAGAAGGAGCGATCGGCTACCATAGGCAATTGCCCTTCAATCCATGACTCCAACAGTCCTGCGTACCTAGACAGAACCGCGAATCGTCGCTGAAGATGGCATTATGCCATTCTGCCTCCCACTGTTGCCGTTCTCTGCTCCAGTTCAAACGTTGACGACAGTGGTCCTGAGTCAGAGGAAGCACTAACCGTGGACGGTATGAAAAACGTCCAAAGGCTCGATTGCGGCGATAGAGTGTACGCATAGTCAGGTCTACCTTCTTCTCCAAACCATTGGTCAGCGATCGGATGCGTAGTAGCAAAACGGTCTCGTAGAGCTAGTGGTCTGAAGCGCCTATCTTGACGCTATGTGGTACGCCTCGGTGGACCAGTTGGCCTTCTTCGTGTTCCTCTACCGTCTTCCATCCACACAGGACACACACGCATTACCGTCATTGCAGTACAATTAACACGGCGGCCAACTTCGCGATACGACTGAAACCATCTCGCTAGAAAATAATTCTACTCCTGTCATGTCGCTAACATGGTGATAATTTGGACGTCTTCCATCTCGAGGCATTTTGATATTCTTAACACTAGTAAATGAAAGGGTAAGATCTAAAAATATCTGTACTACTCAGCTCTCAGAAACTGCTTTCTTCACAAAAACTAAGAGATAACATTTTAACAAAGGTAAACAAAAACAAAGATGAAACTTTGACATTGTTGCTCCAGCATGCTATAAATATAGTTGCCAAAAAAACAAATTTAAGAAATTATTTTTTCTGGGTGTAACATTTCTACTGTCACCGAGTATATATTATTTTGGATAAACTGATTTAAATGAAATTTTATGCTTTATGGTTCGAATAGGCATTATTATGGATATTATCCAGGACCTGAGATATGCATTCTGACTGGGACATATCCGTCATAGGATTTACAGGGGGGAAAACAACCCGTTCTTGCACCGACTGTAATATGCACATTGTGACCTTATTACTTGTGGAATGCTGCATTTCGGAGGGTTGCCCCACAACTTCCCTGGCAATACAAGCTCTCTAAGGTCACCTCCAGTGAGATAAAAAGGGCGTTGAGATGTTTATATTGTCAATTTCCGCCGAGACCTGAGGATTGGATACCCTAGAAGATTTTAAATAGCTTCCTCCGTAAGGGGGTGGTTTTTACAGGCTTACCGTTTGACCATGGCGTACCGTTTTAGTGACTAACACTACAGTTGTGTTAGCCGTAAGGTTTTTGAGATTCATGATTCTTTCCAAATTATTTTAACAATATAGTTTTAAATACAGAACCTACAAACGACTTTATACTCCTGATTGTCTCCTTCGCTTTAATAAATCTAGAGTACCGATTGTTTCTACTTACAGGTTTTGGATTTTTAAGGAAAGGGTTGAATTCTGATTTTGAGTTTTATCTTGGCTAGTTTGCAAGTTGAAAATTAATAAGTTATGCTGCTAAGAAAGGTTTTTGTACAGTGAGTAAATTAATTAGTTTACCTACCTGTGCGAAACTTTTATTTGACATTAGTCGATGTGTATTTGCGTATACGACGGCACTTGGAAATATTCTACTTATTCCAGTTGAACTTTAACTAGTTCTATACTAACACTGGTTTATTTCCTTAATGTTCAAATAAGGGTTGGCTATTAAGGAGATTTGTACCGAATTACCGTACTTCTCCGACCATATACCGAACCGAATCAACCTTACTTTGAACTCTTTGGGACTTAAGCAGACATTAGGAAGCTATTGAGTTTGCGTTGATTTCATGATGAGAGATCGAACAACTGAACTGGGATGTGGGTATATGGGATAATTCTGAAACATTCAAACAACTCTTGACTACATTGGGCCTAGTTGACTTCTCTGGTGCAGAAAAGACTTTTACAACAAACCGAAATGAATACCGTCAAAACACCGAACAGCAACGTTCTATTCTGTCTTTGG